AGAATATAGCACTAACACTGGGATTCTGAAAGCCACCTGTGCTCACGACCACAGGAACACGTGGTAAGAACTCTGTCTGACGTGCAGACTTGAGCTCCGTCTCCAGAGCTGCTGTGGGAGCCACGAGGACCAACCAGTGCAGCTCACGGTCGGGGGGAGCCGAGAGGGAAGAGGAGGAGGGTCATAAAGCTTAGACAGCCTCATAAACCTTTGAGAAGACTGTGTGCTTCCTGCAGCCCCACCGCCAGCTGCTGCCTCCGTCTCTGTCTGAGACCACTGCCCAACACCCGGAGAACAGATGTGTGTCAGGGTCTGCTCCTGTCTTCAAGGAGCTCCCGGGGCAGAGAGAAGATGCCTTCTCATGATGGGACCACGAGCAACCCAAGACTCTGTGAGGAGCTGGCGATTGTCAGGAGTTTGGAAGAAAAGAGGAAGACCTTGCTTCACAGGCATTTGAAAGGGGGTTTGAGGAGCAGGCAGCCAAGGATACTCAGGGAGGGGGGTCAGTTCCCTGCAGAACTGAACATGGTGACTGCAGCATCTTTCTAGAATAAAGCTCACTCCAAAGAACAGTGGACTTGGTCTGATGGATTTCAAAGAACAAGATTTTGGTAACATACTTACATGTGTCACAACACGTGCCTGGAATTTTCACGATTTTCCCCTAAGAAAACAGCAAAGTTCCAGATCAGACACAAAGAGTACATGGTGGACACTTCCCGGTCACTCCAGGTCAGTTCCTGGCTCTGGGCTCGCAGCCCTGAGCTGAAGTCCCCAGGCATGAACTGGCTCTCCCACCACCAACATGAGCAGCCTGCCAGCTCCACCTGACCAGGCGGATACAGTTCTGATTCTATTCCAAATTCTCTTCCAGAACTGGGATCATCATTCCCAGGGGAGCCTGGAAATCTGTCTGACCTCTCACCTTCTCATTCAAGGACTCAATGATTCTGTCTCCCCCAAAGGAAAGATGTTTTCTTAAAGCATCATATGGTACAGAGAATCTTGTCTGTCCATCTGGCTTTGGTTTGTAATGTCATTGGTTTTTAAACTATGTCAGGGTTCTCCTTGGACACTGGGAAGTCACATCCAAGCTGGACTGCTGTTCAGAGGGACCCTGTTCTCAGAGTCAGAGATGGAGACAGTCGAGAGGAAACAGGGCCTGAACTCCGACCACTCACCCCCTCGGCCAGACATCTGTGTTCATCAAAGGGTAGGCAGCCCATGACCCTCTTCTCCCAGGTGTACTGTCCTCTCTCGTTGGCCCTGCAGAAGTGACTGTCACAGCCATCCTGCAATTTCTCACCGGGCTGAAAGGAGAGAGGGGAACAGGGTACAGCTAATGTGAAGACGGTGCTTGGGTTGCAAAGCTACTTCAAACCGTGACCTCGACTCTTTGGAGTTCTTGAGACAGTTCGGAGGGTATGGAACAAGAATGAAGCCGTGTGTACAAAGTCTCCACACCCAGAACCCGAGATAGAGGTGAAGCCTGCTTTTATAGCCTTTTTACTGGGAACAGGGCTGCATAAATGTAGAAAACTCCCTGAACTCTTCTGACCACTTAAAGCTTAAAGAACTAAGACATTGCGATGGTAAACTGGCCAGTCAGCAACTGAACTAGCGATGATCTGAGTGCCACCCCCCAGCCCCACCTGCCAACTCTGGCTTTCATAGGTCAGAGTCTGTGTCACCATGATTGTCTCACTCCTAGACACTCAAGGCTGGAGAAAATCTTAGAGATCAACCAACTCCACGTCATGCGGCCCCATACCAACTGCACTCTTGTCAAGGACAGTGACAAAATAACTCAATCAAAGAGAAGATTCTGGACCTTCTAAAGGTTATCCACCTTTCCATTATAAAATCTGAAATAGGTACAAAGGGAAGTCAAAATTGGCCCAAATTCTGTCCCTCTTTCTTGAAGAAAAGATACCCAAATAGAAAACCAGACGGTGAGCTGAGGGGGAACTTCTGAGTCCAACTTGCTCCCACCTTCAGTGTCAGGATCTGCCCCCCTCGTAGCTGGATGGTGCAGGCCGTAGGCAGACATCTCCCACAGCATTCCCCCTGCAGCTTCTCTTCCTTGTAACCCTGTCCAGGAGGAAAAGCAGCTTTGGTTAACCTGCCCCAAACATCCCAGTCATAAGCAGGCTTCCTTGTCCAGCTCCTCATCCGTCCTATCTCGCAGTTTGACCCAGAGAGTCAACATCTGACCTTAATTACCCCTTGTCAGCCCCCCGGGCCCCTAAAGAGCACTCCATCCCTCCACGTGTGCACATCTTGCTCAAGTTCTCGCAGCCAGACCTACTAACTTAGACCTCCCCCGGGTTCGCCTTACAGATTCAATTGTTTGCTTGACAGTTGTTTATCTTATTGTCATCTCAAGACTTACATACAAGAGGCAACTTGACTTTCCGTTCCACATCTCCTCTTTCTCTTGTCTCACCTGTCTTGGTAAGTGGTTTCATTACCCAGTTGCTCAAACCAGAAATCCGGGAGTCATCCTTGGCTTCTCTCTTCTTCTCATCCCCCACCCCCCACTCATCACCAAATCTTGCCAAAAATGCATCTTGAACTCATCCACTGTTTGTCATTGCAGTGTCCTCTGTCATCGCCCGGTCCAAGCAACCATCAGCTCCCAGTGGCCTCTGTAGTAGTCTTAACCGTCTCCCCACCTCCATTCTTTCCCCCCTGCTGTAGGTCTCCACATACCCGCTAGAATTACGTTCTTAAAATACGTCATGTCACTCCCCTGCTTAAAATCCATCCAGGGAGTCCTGGTTCTAGTAATGCCAGAGAAGCTTATATTGGACTGGCTCCCTGCAGATAACAACTATAAATCCTTGATGAAGTATTTAAGACAGTGGTTTAAAGGCACTGGATGGCCAGAATCAGGGATAAACCACAGGTGGTTTAATCCTCGAAAGAAGGAACCATATGGACAAGAATCACGTTTCAGTGGCTCCTCCCTGAGAGCTGGAGCTGGAACAGAAAACTACAGCTGTATCTGCCTGAGGAGTCAGAGGACAGAGGCTGAAACTGCAAGAAGAGCTGGGCTCAACAGGGGACAACCTCAGAAGAGAGGAAGTCAGAAAGGGGGAGCCCCAAGTGTGCACAGACATCCCCTCCCAACCCCGCACAGACATCCCCTCCCAACCCCTGGTTGAGCCCTGCATTATCCATGCTCAGAGGAGCCAATGAGCAGCCCCGGGACAGAACAGCAGGCGGGCAGCCGCTGCCACACGCCACCGGAAAGCCGGCGTCTGGGCCCTGAATCCCACGGTGGGGACCGACCATTTTCACTTTCAATTGGGATTCTGTTTTGCCTGCTTGCGTGTAATGTAAGTGTTGATACGGCTGGGTTTAAATCCACCATTTTGCTATTCATTGTATTTGTCGTCTTCTCTGTCATTTGTGAATTCTTTTCTGTCTTCTTTTGGTTTAATCGAGTGTTTGGCTTTGGGTTTGTTTGTTTTTTAGTATTTTATTTTATCTCCTCCGTTAGCCTTCTAGCTGCATTCCTTCACAGACTATTTCAGTGGTTACGTGAGTTTATATGTGTATCAGACTTTGTCAAACTATGTATTTAATATCTGTGCATCTGAGGTACATAAATTACACCTCATTAAAAAATTAATTTTACAAAAGTTCTAAAAATAAGACCCTCTATGGCTCCCAAAGGCATTTAGAATAAAATCCAATGTCACCATGTTCTACAAGGCCGGACGTGGTTCTTGCTTAATTTTCTGACCTGATCGTACACCACCATCCCCTTGTTCTTGACAATCCGCTGCTGTCATTTTCTACGACCATGGACACACCAGCCTGAGGGCCTGTGTGTATGCTGTTCCCTCTGCCTGGGGTGCCCTTCCCCGCACTCTGCATGAATAGCTGTTTCTCAGCCTTGAATAATCACTTTAAATGTCATTCATCAGCAGGGTCTCCTAGAACACGCACACTCTTCATAACACTTAGCACAATTTGAAATTTTCATCTGACAGTTCAGATGGTTTCTGCGCTCCCTGAGAGGCATGTGAATCCCACACGGCGCCATCATTCCCCCCCTCCCCCCCAGCACGCAGCTCCCAGTCGGCACTCCGGCTTCCACTCGGGGGGTGGGCTCAGCAATGGCCTCCCCGCCAGCGGCTTAGATGGAGGCTTTCGTCCATGTCCGCGCTGGGAAAGGCAGCAGCCTCCAGACAGCAGGATCCACTTTTTACAGAAATGCCCCCAAATCTGGGAGACAACATAGAGTAACCAACTTCTTATTTTGCAAAGTATTTTAAACAATGTTAACAAAATACCAAAACGTTATCATCAGCTGTCTCATCCCTGCATTAAAATTAAAGCTCTTTTAACTCTCCTCACCACTCCAAAAAAATCCCCCCATAAAAGAACAAAATTCAGAAAAGGTTTTTAAAGAATAAACTTAGTTACGTGAGAAACCCACTATGATGTCACCCTTTCCTCCGTCTTGCCACGTTGAGTGATGACCACTCAGATATTCACTCCCTGGGCCCTGGGGGTTTCTCCCACGACTCTCTAGCAGGTCAGTTCGGAGCCCCCGGACAGAAGGCCCACGCTGTTCACTGCACGTGGACCGAAGGCTCCCCACTAGCAGGGGAGGTTAGGAGTGTGTGAGCTTCCTCTGAACTCTGTGTCTTCAGGGAGCACGTAGAGAAAGCCAATGAGGACTGAGCTTAGCCCTGACAGGATGGTCCCCGGCCACACACACATTCGGAAGGACCCTGCTGATGTCTGAGGACATCGGTAGTGTCTCACAGGTGAGTTTTGATTGGGCTTTCAAAAACGCACAGTTCCTGGGAGGTGTGGACCCAGGTGGATGGGAGAGGAAGGAAGAGATGGAAAATGCAGGATGCACATATGTGAGTGGGGACAGCCAGAAAGGGGAAATAAAAAAAGGCTTAAATCAGGCAGGATTTCCTGGGAGTGTAGATTTGGCCATTTTTCAGTTCCAAGAGGAGACTAGGAAGTCCCTCCCCTCAGCAGGCCAGGGAAAGTGCCCACAGTCTTCACAGGAAAAGGGAGTGGCAGGTGGAAGAGGGGGCTGCACGGGGAAGGGACGGGGACGTGGAGGTCCAGTCCACACACCCACAAGTCAGAGGGCACAGTTCAGCCAAAAACAGGCAAGGATGGTGGGTGCTGTGGGAGGAGGAATGGACCAGAGGACAGAGAGGCGGAGGTGGAAGGTGGAAGGAGAGGGACGATGATTTTAGAGGTGCAGTGGGAGTTGGGAAAGAGGGATGGCAGAAGGAGACAGTGCGTGGTATAACCCAAGCGCAGGGCGAATAAAGAAAACAGAGCCCGGAAGGCGAGGACACAGCTGCGCCGGGCAGCAGGCTTGTCTGAGCCGCGCTGGGCTCCCGGCCACCGCGGACAGAGGTACGCGCTGCAGGGTGACAGGTGCACCCGGAGGACGGCCGTGCTGACCAGGTTTTCACCAGAGCATCCAATCAGGAGCAGCCATGGTCCCAGCCAGCCACCGAGTCCACGTGCTCAGG